GGCACTGTCCCTCAGCTCTTCAGCTCAAGGCTAGTGCTCTACCACTTGAGCCATAGCACCACTTCCAGCTTTTTCTGCTTATGTGGTGCTGAGGAATCGAACCCAGGGCCTCATGCATGCAAGGCAAGCACTCTACCACTGAGCCACCTTCCCAGCCCCCAACAATGCTTTTTTTTTTTTTTTTAAAGGCATTTATCCAGGAATTGGTGGCTCACGCCTATCATCCTAGCTATTCAGGAGCTGAGATTTAAGGATCTCAGGTCAAACCAGCCTAGGCAGGAAAGCCCATGAGATTCTTATCTCTAATTGACCACCTGAAAGCCCGAAGTAGAGCTGTGGCTCCAGTGGTAGAGCGCTAGCCTTGAGCTGAAGAGCTGAGGGACAGCGCCCAGGCCCAGAGGTCAAGCCCCACGACCAACAAAAAAAAAAAATAATGCTCAGGGACAATACTTAAACCTCCATACTGGCACAATACATATAAGCATTTAACAGTGTCTCTTGAGCTGTCCCTCAGCTGTTGGCTGTCTGGTAGAGCAAACTATGAGGGAAATGGTGGAATGAGGGTTGTCCTGTCTGCACTCATTGACAGGTGGTCCCAGGCCAACAGTGACCTTGCTGACCAGCTGCAGAAGGCCGAGAGTCAGCTGCAGCTCTGGAAGGCTTACCACAGTGCTCACGCCGAAGCCACCGCCCGGCTGGCTCAACAGGAAGTGAAGTTTGAGCAGCTTGCAGACATCAACACATCTGGAAACAATGTGGCAGAGGTCCTCCCGCTGGCCCTTCAGGATGTAAAGGTGAGTACAAAGCCTTTTGGGAAAACCAAAGCTAAGTTAGCCTAGCAGACAGGGCCTGGGAGGGGCAGCCATGACCCTAGAATAGGACAGAACATGGGGGGGGGGGGGCAGAGGAAGTCGGCCTGGGCAGTAGACAGTGGACTGTGTCAGATGCCGGCCAGGCAGGATGTGTGGGGTTGAGAGGATTGGGTGACAGCTAGGTCAGGGGGACCTGACACTCTTTCCAAGTTTACACTTCCACGCTGTTACGGTATATTTAGTTTAATCTCACTGGAGTGTGATAATCAAAGAATAATAGTTGTTGAGTCTTCTTTAAAAATAATCATAATCATAGGCTGGGTGCCAAGCGAGTAGACTTTTCTCTGGGTATAGTGACTGAGATTATACTTAAGAATATCACAATTTCCTCTATAGTGTTTGTCCTATTACTGTTACAAAATAATCCAGAAAATGAATACTATTAGTTTTAAATTCAGTGACAAGATCTTGTATATCTTCTAATGCTAGCACTGAACTCAAAGGGGAGGGAGCAACCAATTTAAGAACAAGGATCCATTTCCTTCTAACAGATCCTCTCAAAACAAAACCCTGGGGCTGGGAATGTGGCTTAGTGCTAGAGTGCTTCCTCAATACCACATAAGAAAGAAAAAAAAAAAAAAAGCCAGAAGTGGAGCTTTGGTTCAAGTGGGAGAGTGCTAGGCTTAGTCAAAAAAGCTCAGGGACAGTGCTCAGGCCTTGAGTTCAAGTCCCAAGACTGGCAAAAATAATAGTAATAAAAATAAATTAAAAAAAAATTTAAACCTGGAAATTTCACTCAATGGAATTTCCCAGAAGATGTCAAAAATCAATCTCTGCAAATGAATCTGTTTCTGTTAAGGAGGTAAGGTTGGAGTGATTCTTGAAATGGCATGAAATCATGTCTCTATAAAGCCACTAAGCAAAGCATGGGACTGGGCCCAGTTGATCCCTAGGGGTCTATCAACCAGGAAGTCTTCTTTATTGGTCAGGGTCAGTTCTGCCTCTGAACTGAAGTTTCAGAACAGCACTAATGAGACAGGCCTTCTGAAGAAAACTTAATCTCTGTCAGCTATTTACAATAATAAGCAGTCAGGGGGTGCTGGGAAGGTGGCTCAGTGGTAGAGTGCTTGCCTTGCATGCATGAGGTCCTGGGTTCTGTTCTTAGTACCACATAAGCAGAAAAAGCTGGAAGTGGTGGTGTGGCTCAAGTGGTAGGGCGCTGGCCTTGAGCTGAAGAGCTGAGAGACAGCGCCCAGGCCCAGAGTTCAGTTCCCAGACCAGCAACAAAAACAAAAACAAAAAAATAAGCAGCCATGGTTAGAAGGATGGCTCCCATGTTAGAAGCTCAGCCAATGAGTGAAGACATCAGATACCAAGTTCAAGTCCTGGTCTCAGACAAAAAAAAAAAAACAATCACAAGATGAGTAGCTCAAGTGTAGACTGCTAGGCTTGAGCAAAAAGCTTAGGGCCAGTGCCCAGGCCCTGTGTTCTAGCCCCAGAACAACATTCCCCAACTCACTCCCCCACCCCCAAAAAAAGGCACTCAAGTTTTGGCAAAAATTCTCCTAGATGCTGCTAATCTGGTGAAGGGGAGAATTACAGTGTGAAAGGCAGAGTGGATGTTTGGGAACCTCTGGTTTCTTCTCCAGGAGCTACAGGATGGTGTGCAGAAGACAAAAGAAACCTTTCTCCAAAATATCACCCTCCTGGATGGACTCCCTCAGCCCACAGAGCTGGGCAGCCCCCAGCAGTTCACAGTTCAACGGCACTCCCTGCAGAGAGCTGACTACCTGGAAAAGATGCTGTTGCTGAAGGCGAATGAATTCGAGGTTCATTTCACTCTTCCATTCAGGTCGAAGGCTTTGGGCATTTGCATACTGCCTTCCATAACCGTGCTTAATGAAGCCATGCCAACCTACATGAGTCTGGCTTCCACCACAGGCAGTGGCAGATCTTAAGCATCCACTTAGCCTTTACTGAACATATCAATAGAAGAAGTGATCATTTCAGACCCTCTCAAAGTTGGTAGGCTGAGTTGTAGAAGTAGCTGCTTGAGTCTTGGCCATTGGTATTCTTTATCTTGATTTTTGAAAAGCTACCTAGATGCCCAGGATGCTCCAAAATGGAGTCTCAGCACCAGGCTCAAATACACACAGTCAAAAAACCAAGGGATTGGGCTGGGAAGGTGGCTCAGTGGCAGAGCGCTTGCCTTGCATGCCTGAGGCCCTGGGTTTGATTCCTCAGCACCACATAAGCAAAAAGAAAAAAGCTGGAAGTGGCGCCGTGGTTCAA